AATTTGGGAAAAATGGTCATTATCATATTTAGTCTTGTAGTTCATAGACATAGTATATTTCCATTTATTTGCATCTTTAATTTTCAACATAACATTCAGCAATGTTTTTATAGTTTTAATTGTATAGGTGCCTTGCATGTATTACGTTAAATTTATCCCTAACTAGTCCATGTTTTTGATACTATAGTAAATGGTGTGTGTGTGTGTGTGTGTGTGTGTATATATATATCTATATTTTTTAGACAGAGCCTCACTCTGTCACCCAGGCTGGAGTGCAGTTGTGTAATCATAGCTCACTACAGCCTTGACCTCCTGAGCTCAAGCAGTCCTCCTGCCTCAGCCTCCCAAGTAGCTGGGATGACAGTGTGCACTACCACGCCCAGATAATTTTTTTTTTTTTAATTGAGACAAGGTCTTGCTGTGTTGCCCAGGCTGGTCTCAACCTCCTGGACTCAAGTGATCTTCCCTTCTCAGCCTCTCAAACTGCTGGAATTACAGGTGTGAGCCACCATGCCCAGCCAGAGGCATTGTTTTTGATACTATAGTAAATATTTTATTTAAATTTCCAGGTGGTCATTGCTAGTATGCAGAAAATATTGTTTTGTATTAACCTATGCTAAAGTCACATTATTTTGATTTGTTTTTCATAAAGATTCCTTAAATGTTTCTACGTAAACAATCATGTCATCTGCAGATAGACAGTTTTATTTCTTCTTTTCAGTCTGTATGGCTTTCTTTGCCTTTTTCTTGCCTATTGTACTGGCTAGGACTTCCAGAGTAATGTTTAATAGAAATCCTGAGACTGGACATCCTTGCCTTGTTCTCAATCTGAGGAGAAAGTATTCGGTTGTTCATCATTAACAGATGATGTTAGCTGAAGGTTTTTCAGAGATTGTGTACTCTACCAGGATGAAGAAGGTCCCCTCTATTTCCAGTTTGCTAAGAGTTTTAAAATTGTGAATGGGTGGCGAATTTTGTTAAATATTTTTCTGCATCTAATAAGAGAATTGTATATGATTTTTCTCCTTTATTCTGTAATATGGTAGTTATGTTGATTTTTTTAGTGTTAAACCAAGCTTGCATTCTTGGGATAAACCCCACTTAGTCATGATGCATTATCCTTGCTGTATATTGCTGAATTCAGTTTGCCAAAAATTTAATTAAGGATTTTTGCATCTGTATTCAGTGAGGTATGCTGGTCTCTAGTGTTCTTTCCTTTCAATGTCATTATCTAGGCTCAAAAAAATGACTAGAGAAGTGATCTTTCTTTATTTTTAGAATGAGTTTGTGTGTGTTTGTTAACAAATTGTTTTTTTCCTGAAATATTTGATAGAATTTACTCCTAAAGCCACCTCAGTCTGAAATTTCTTTGCGAGAAGTTTTAATTCATAATTAAATTTCCTTCGTATATGTAGGGCTAGTTTCTTTTTTTTTTCTTTTTTTTTTTCTTTTTTTTTTGAGACAGAGTGTCACAGTGTCGCCTGGGCTGGAGTGCAATGGTGCGATCTTGGCTCACTGTAACCTTTACCTCCCGGGTTCAAGCGATTATCCTGCCTCAACCTCCCGAGTAGCTGGGATTACAGGCATCTGCCACCATGCCCGGCTAATTTTTTGTATTTTTAGTAGAGACGGGGTTTCACTATGTTGGCCATGCTGGTCTAAAACTCCTGAGATGAGGATAATTTTTTGTATTTTTAGTAGAGACGGGGTTTCATTATGTTGGCCAGGCTGGTCTCAAACTCCTAACCTCATGATTCGCCCACCTCAGCCTCCCAAAGCACTGGGATTACAGCGTGAGCCACTGCGCCTGGCCTTCTTTCTATAGTTTCTTAAATCACTGTGGTTAATCGGCATTCAACCAATTTGTCCATTTTATCTATGCCATTGAATTTATTTACATAATTATAATATTCTTTTTTTTTTTTAATGTCTGCAAGATCTGTGGTGATATCATCTCTTTCATTCCTAATGTTGGTAATTTTTTCTTTTCCTCCTTGCTCTTGTTGTTTGTTTGTTTTGAGACAGGTTCTCATTCTGTCACCCAGACGGGCTGGAACACAGTAGCGATCATAACTCAGTCAGCCTCAAACTCCTGGTCTCAGGCAGTCCTCCTGCCTCAGCCTCTCAAATTGTTGGAATTACAGGTGTGAGCCAGCCACTGTGTTCAGCCTCTTTTAATTCCTATATGTATTAGCCAGTTGAGGTGGCTTACTTGAACCCAAGAGTTCTGGGCAACACAGCAAGACCTCATCTCTACAAATAATTTTAAAAATTAGCTGGGGCATGGTGGCACACACCTGTGGTCTCAGCTACTCGAGAGGCTGAGACAGGAGGATCTCTTGAGCTCGGGCAGTCAAGGCTTCAGTAAGCCGTGATCGCGCCACTGCACTCCGGCCCAGGTGACACTGTAAGACTCTGTCTCAAAAAATAAATAAATAAATAGATATAGAAAATCTGAGTAGCCCTATATATACTAAGGAAATTTAATTATCAATTAAATTGTCACCTGGGTAACAGAGTGAGACCATGTCTCAAGGGAAGCAGGGGGAGGGGAGAGTCTTGTATTTATTATTTCCTTTCTTTTACTTTGTTTTACTTTGGTTTAATTTGTTCTTCTTTTACTCTTTTTTGTTTTTACTGAGTCATCATTATTGTTCTACCACTCGAATCACTGCATTGCTGCTGCTAAATGGCCAACAGACCAACAGATCCTTGCATAGAAACAAAAAAAGCCCTTGTTTTTCAGTATTACCAAAGGGAAATGTATAGTCAGAACTGCAAGAAAATTGCCGTGTGATCCGGCTTCTGTCACATTTTAGTTTACAATACAGGAGCATAAAGTAGCTATTCAACTACCTCAAAAATAAGAGAATCATTTACCTTTCTGTGTATAACCTAATTAAAACCATGTCAGATCCAGCAAACCTGATTTTCATCTCTCTCCAGTAGATATAGGAGTATATATTAATATTTCTACTTCATGACTAGATAGGGGACTAACTTAAAATTGGCTACTCAGTTATCACTTGTAAGGCCCACAGTTGCACCTGGGTAGGTGGGTAGTTGCACATGCACACAGTTGGTGGTCACAATTCTGCTTTCTTGCCCTTCTCCTTAACGTGGAGCTATTTAATCTTATTTATTTATTTATTTAGAAATAGAGTCTGGCTGTGTCACCTTGGCTGGAGTGCAGTGGCACAATCATGGGTAGAGACAAGGTCTTGCTGTGTTGCCCAGGCTGGCCTCAAACTCCTGGTCTCAAGTGATTTTCCCACCTCAGCCTCCCGAGTAGCTGGGACTATAGACATACACAACCACGCTCTGCCAATTTTGAAATTTTTTGTAGAAATGAGGTCTCCCTATGTTGCCCAGGCTGATCTTGAACTCCTGGCCTCAAGCAGTCCTCCCACCTCAGCCTCCCAAGTGCTAGGATTACAGGCAAGAGCCACCGTGCCAGGCTGGAACTATGTAAGGTAGCACTTAGCCCTGTATGTCTGTATGTACATGTTACTAACAGTGGTTGTGTAGATCACTCCTCCAAAGGGAAAGTCTCTCTAGATGGGTCTTTGACCCAGTTAAGCAGTAGCTTCCTCCAAATGGTGCCCACCTGTCCATTGACTGAGACATTTGAAGACAAAGTGAGTCTTCACTCACCATCACCATTCCCCACATCTCCTTTCCCTGGGAGCGCACACACTTAGGAGGGCAGTGCTGCTTCATCCACAAGCAGTGACAGCCAGCCAGGATTTGTGAAATGTCTCTCAAGGAAATGTGCTCTCTTCCATGCTGAGAGATGCCACATGGTCACAGTACAGTCTTCATGCAGTTGTAGCTTAGACTTCCAGATTCAAAGGTCAGAAACCAGCTTGGAATTTTCCTGGTCCTAACTCAAACCTGGCATAAGTCAAAGTTTAAATCCAGCAGGCTCCACAGGAAATCAGATTGAACACATGTGCTGCTTGGTCAAGCAAGGACCCTGGAGTAGAGAAATAGGTCATCTTGGTCATGAAAGCCACAACATCACCTGCAAGAGGACAGGCACTTGGTTCTGTTCACTGCTGTGCCCTCAACTCCTAGAGTAGGACCTGGTGCAGAGTGTGATCAGAAAATATTTATTGAGTCCCAGGTACAGTGGCTCATGCCTGTAAACCTAACACATTGGAAGACTAAGGTGGAGGATCACTTGAGTCCAAGAGTTTGAGACCAGCCTGGGTGACACAGGGAGACCCTATCTCTATAAAAATAAACTTAAAAAAAAAAAATTAGGCCGGGCGCGATGGCTCACACCTGTAATCCCAGCACTTTGGAAAATTGAAGCGGATGGATAGTCTGAGGTCAGGAGTTCAAGACCAGCCTGACCAACTTGGTGAAACCCCATCTCTACTAAAAATACAAAAATTAGCCGGGCATGGTGGTGGGCGCCTATAATCCCAGCTACTCAGGAGGCTGAGGCAGGAGAATCGCTTGAACCTGAGAGGTGGAGGTTGCAGTGAGGTGAGATTGTACCACTGCACTCCAGTCTGGACAACAGAGCGAGACTTGGTCTACACACTTTGTAATCTAAAACATTCTCTACCAATACTGCAATCAGTGAATTCTTGCTTTATTGATACATTCTAGTGTTCAGTGGTGATTTTAATACACTGTTTTGGTACTTTCTGCTTTCAGTTTTCATTGCTGTGGCCATTGCCTTAAACAGAAATAAAAAACTAAAACAATTTTACAACCATCCAAAAGAGGCTTGGAAACTTTTTTTGGCTAGATGTCCATAGCACAATTTAATTCAGTAAACATAAACAGTTAAAATTATTCCAGTACAAAACCATGTTTTAAAAAAGAGATTACACCCAATTTTGGCAACAACACCCAGGAAATAAGCATTCTTTTACATTTGGTTCAAACTTTCTGAATGGCAGTTGTGCAACACTTGTTGTGAAAAGCTTTAGAATATTATAAACATGTTAATCCCATATTTTCATTTCTATGAATTCATCCAAAAGAGATAACAATGGATGTGGGTAGAGACAGCCGTATGGAATGCACACCGCAGTGATGAACATGTGGTCCAGCTCTGCCATCAAGGAGGTGAGAACATGGGGGAAGATTTTTATCGAAGTTTCTTTTCTGGAGCATGTGCTCAGGTTAAACACCTGCTCTGTATCTCTAGCTTCTGACCCCTACCCCTGGCCAGCTCTGTTACTCCAGTACACTGCTAAGCAGGCAGAGTATGGCCAGAGTATTCACAACAGTGCATCACTAAATCAAGTGGGATTCACACAATGGAATATATTAATGCATCATTAAAAATCACATTGTAAAAGAAGATTTAATAACAGAAAAAATGCACTGTATATGACATATTTTTAAAATATTACGTCAGTCACAATAAAAGACAAATATTGTCTGATTCCACTTATATGGGATAGAGTAGTCAAAATTATAGAGGCAGAAGGTAGAAATAGGTCTGGGTGGAAACTGGAATGAGATGTTCTTAGCGTTTCAGTTTTACAAGATGAAAAGAGTAATGGAGACAGATGGCGGTGGTGGTTGCACAACATTATGAATGTATTTAGTACTATTGAACTGCACACTTAATGGGTAAGATGGCACAGTGAGATACCATCTCACACCAGTCAAAATGGCTGTTACTAAAAAGTCAAAAAAAACAGATGCTGGGGAGCTTGTAGAGAAAAGGGAACGCTTATACACTGCTAGTGGCAGTGTAAGTTAGTCCAGCCACTATGGCAATTCCTCAAAGAACTTAGAACTATCATTTGACCCAGCAATCCCATTACTGGGTATATACCCAAAGGAATATAAATCGTACTGCCTTAAAGACACATGCATGTGATTGTTCATTGAAGCACTCTTTTTAATAACAAAGACGTGGAATCAACCTAAATGCCCGTCAACGGTAGACTGGATAAAGAAAATGTGGTTCATATACATCATGGAATACTGTGCAGCCATAAAAAAGAACAAGATTATGTCCTCTGCAGAACATGAATGGAGCTGGAGGCCATCATACTTAGTAAACTAACACAGGAGCAGAAAACCAAATACCACATGTTCTCACTTATAAGTGGGAGCTAAATGATGAGAACACATGGGCACAGAGGGGAACAACACACACTGAGGCCCCCCTTGAGGGAGGAGGGTAAGAGGAAGGAGAAGATCAGAAAAGATAAGTACCAGGTACTATGGTAGCTTAGTACCTGGGTGATGAAATAATCTGTACACCCAACCACCCTGACACAAGTTTACCTATGTAACAAACCTGCACATGTATCCCTGAAACTAAAATAAAAGTTTTTTTAAAAGTTATTTAATATTAATGGGACAATACTCATTGCAAGAATCGGACTTCAATTGCTAGCATAAGTAAATGACAGGCAGGAGATACTGAAAATGCAATCTTACAGACGTTCAAGGAGAGGATGCAGGACATTTCTGTGTCATAAATGTACTATGGAAAATAAAAATGAGAAAAATGGAAATACAAAAAAAGGTTATGATGATAAATTTCATATTATTTTACCACAATTAAAAAATTTTTAATAAATTATAAATGGTGTGATATGATTTGGCTGTGTTCCACCCCAATCTCATCTTGAATTGTAGCTCCCACAGTTCCCATGTGTTGTGGGAGGGACCTGGTGGGAGATAATTGAATCACGGGAGTGGCTTCCCCCATACTGTTCTCTTGGTAGTGAATAAGTCTCATGAGATCTGATGGTTTGATAAGGGGTTTCCCCTTTTGCTTGGCTCTCATTCTTTCTTGACTGCCACCCTGTAAGATGTGCCTTTTGCCTTCCACCATGATTGTGAGGCCTCCCAGCCACATGGAACTGTGAGTCCATTAAACCTTTTTGTTTATAAATTACCCAGTCTCGAGTATGTCTTTACCAGCAGCGAGAGAACAGACTACTATGAGTGTGATCTAATTACCATAAAGGGAGAATGAGGACTATTGACACCAAAATATGAGATTAGGATTACAGCTCATTTTTTTTTCTTCTTCTGTTTGTCTTTCCAGTTTGCTATGATGAATGTTTCATAATTAGAAAACAAAATTAAATGTTTCCAGCCCCACAAAAAATAACCAGATTTTTACTTTTATTTTTTTTTCCCCGAGATGACATCTCTCTTTATCACCCAGGCTAGAGTGCAGTGGTGCAATCGCGACTTTCTGCAACCTCCCCCTCCCAGGCTGAAGTGATCCTCCCACCTCAGCCTCCTGAGTAGCTGGTATTGCAGGAAAGCATCATCACACCAGGCTAGTTTTTTTTTAATCTTTTTTGGTAGAGACGGTGTTTCAACATGTTGCCCAGGCTGGTCTCAAACTCCTGGACTCAAGCGGTTCACCTGCCTCAGCCTCCCAAAGTGGTAGGATTACAGGCATGAGCCACCGTGTCTGGCCATTTACTTTTAATCTTAGTAATTTATGCAGAGCCAGTTGTGTGGTGTTGTGGTCTCTCCCCACTTTGAGTTGACTGGATGGTTGTGTGGATTGGACTTGGGCACACTGAGTAGAGCCTAGAGCAAGGTAAACCACCTGGAGGCTCCTGTGCCTCAGTCCAGCAGCAGGGATAGGCAAGGGACTTCGTTGACAATGAAAAAGTGCTTGTTGCCGAGAACCTGAAACAGACGCAAACTCAGGGAAGTGACAGTTACATGTGCAAAGAGACCCAAAGGAATCTGTATCACCAGCTAACAAGCAACACAGCTCTACCTGCACATCCTACTTCAGTGCCTTAATATAAATAAAACAAATACTTCACAATCAAATAATTTGCTGCGATGTAAAGAACTTTGTGAAAATGGTATACTATGTGGAATCTATATGTCCCCAGAGATGAGACTGAAAAGACAGTTATCATGAAACCAGTCTTGGCCTTTGACGGTTTCCAGTTTTTGCCACACTTTCAAACACGAGTCCACGTGAGCTAGCCGCAGCCGTTTCAGGATCATGTGAAACGGATTATCATCCCTGGACTATACGAAATTGAGGTGTGGGAAAGGTAAAGGAACTGGCCCTAGGTGGTTGTATGCAAGTTGGAAGCAAAGAAACAGCTAAGACCACATCTCCTGATTCCCAGTCCAAGGCACTTTTAATGACCTACAATGCCTAGAAGGAAAGGTGGTAAGGAATCATAGGAAAAAGCCTAAGAGCTAAGCTAAAGGAAAGAGGCTGGGAGCACTGACTCATACCTGTAATCCTGGCATTTTGGGAGGCAAGGCAGGAGGATGGCTTGAGTGTAGGAGTTTGAGGCTACAGAGAGCCATAATCACACCACTGAATTCCAGCAAGGGCAACAGAACAAGACCCCAACTCTTAAAAAAAAAATAAAAAGTAAAAAGGAATACTCTATTGGGATGATAAGTGTAATTCTCCCATTTCCTCAACATAGTGCTCTCTAAAGATGTGTTCTACCAGATGGGGGGCAGATGCACATACCCCAGGATAAGATGGTCTACTAGGACGTAAAATCTATGCTTTATTTTGTCACAAAAGAGGGAAAATGGCCTGGTACCCTCACATCGTACTACATTAGACAGCCATGGGTCAGGAATGATGCATGTGGTGCCCTGAATTGGGTGTGAGGGCACCATAGTGAGAAGGATGTGGTGTCCACATGCATTAGTTTGCACAGACAGGGGTTTACAAGTACCTAATTCATATGAATTATTATTTTTTTTTTTCTGAGACGGAATCTTGCTCTGTCACCCAGGCTGGAGTGGAGTGGCGCGATCTCGGCTCACTGCAAGCTCCGCCTCCTGGGTTCACGCCATTCTCCTGCCTCAGCCTCCTGAGTAGCTGGGACTACAGGCACCGGCTACCACACCCAGCTAATTTTGTTTTTGTATTTTTAGTAGAGATGGAGTTTCACCGTGTTAGCCAGGATTGTCTTGATCTCCTGACCTTGTGTTCCGCCCAGCTCCACCCCCCAAAGTGCTGGGATTACAGGCATGAGCCACCGTGCCCGGCCAATATGAATTATCTTACATAGCTTTACTAAACAAACCCTTAGTCAAGTGCAAGGTAAACATAATGGCAATATAATTGATTCTAACAAGAAGGAATCAAACAAAAAATTTTTTTTAGATAGTCTTGCTCTGTTGCCCAGGCTGGAGTGCAGTGGCACAATCACAGCTCACTGTGGCCACAAACTCCTGAACTCAAAGCCATCCTCCCACTTCAACCTCTCAAGTAGCTGGGACCACAGGCACACACCACCACGCTTGGCTAATTTTTAAACTTTTTGTAGAGAGGGGGTGTCCCAGGCTGGTCTTGAACTCCTGTGCTTAAGCAGTCCTCCCACCTTAACCTCCCAAAGTGTTGGGATTATGGGCATGAGCCACAACACCCAGCCAAAAAAAAATTTTTTTGTGGGGGGGATGGGGTCTCCCTCTGTTGCCCAGGCTGAAGTTCAGTGGCACAATCTTGGATCACTGCAGCCTCGACCTCCCTGGGCTCAAGTGATCCTCCCAGGTAGCTGGGACTGAAGGCACATGCCACCATGCCTAGCTAATTTCTCTATTTTTTGTAGAGATGGTCTGGCCATGTTGCCCACACTGGTCTTGAACTCCTGGGCTCAGGTGATCCACCTGCCTCAGCCTCCCAAAGTGCTGGGATTATAGGCATGGGCCACTGCACTCAACCAAAAATAAGTTTTTAATTATCAAGAACATTTGAAATATAAAATTATATCCTCTGTTTTTTGTTTTGTTAATCGAGACGGTCTTGATCTGTGGCCCAGGCTAGAGTGCAGTGGTGCAGTCATAGCTCACTGCAGCCTCGAACTCCTGGGCTCAAAGGATCCTCCTCCCTCAGCCTCTCAAGTAGCTGGGACTACAGGCACGCACCACGATGTCTAGCTAACTTTAGTTATTTTGCTTTTGTAGAGACAGGATCTGGCTATGTTGACCAGCCTGGTTTCCAACTCCTGGCCTCAAGCAATCCTCCTGCCTCAGCCTCCCAAAGTGTTGAGATGATAGACATGAGCCACTGTGACTTCCAGTCCTCTGTTTTGTTTTGTTTTGTTGAGACAGGGTTTCACCATGTTGCCCAGGCTGGTCTCGAA